GTATGTTTTTGTAACTTCTGCAAAGAAGATCGGAAGTCGCTTCTTTAAATATTTTCTTTTTCTTCTCTTATCTACTGTGCTTTTTCTTTATCTTTTCTTCTTAGCATCAACTATTAAAAAGTTTGTTTTTCTTAACTTTGTACTCTATATTTTTCCTAAGCTTATCTTTTATCTTTTCTCAGAAATAATGTAATACTATATTGATTAGCCATTAAGCCATATCAGAATACAAAACATAAAACACACAGTAATAAGATCCTACATTAACAATGGAATAAAAGCAATAAAAAAATGCAAATCATATTTCCGTGTCACAATTTACCCCAATCAGATCCACATATGCAGTTCTCAACTGTACTGTTTTGGACAAATAAAGGGCCAAGTTATATGTAAGTTTTGCATTCTGATCGCAAATGAAATATGCTGTTTTAATATAACGATCCCAATAGGTCATTTGTCTAATATGCAGTCCAGATAACAGATATATCTTTCTTATACAATTGACATTCAAATGCTGTAATATATGTGTTATGTCTTCTATCTATGGCGCTCTGCTAATACAAATACATTCACTGTAAGGGCTGCCTAATAGTTAAACAATAAAGTATTATTAAGTAGATGTGTGAATTTTCACATTCAGAATTAGCTTTTGGTTTTCTCTTTTGAGTATCTGCTCTTATTTGAAGAAGAATAACTCTTGGCCGCATATCAATTATTCATAATAGGAAAGAAATAATTTTAACAAAAAAATTTGGTGCTCCCCCAATTGTATAGATTTTCTATTCCATTGCTTAATTTTATTTGTTTTCTCCCATTATTTTATCTCGTTTGAATAACATTAAGCAGCTAGGCTCATTAGTGAAAAAGTAATGACCATACATTTTTATAAAACTGATAGAATGTTATTAAGTTTTTAATACAACTATTTTAATTGTAGAATAAAAAAACTTTTATTTATTCAAACTTTTAAAAAAACACAGAGCGCTGAACCAGCCCACAAGCCCAGTTTCATTCTAAAATACCCAAAATAGGATATCCTAAAATAGGATTTTTTTTGTCTTCAAAACATATGACTTGAGTTTTGATAGCTAATAAAAATATTTAATAAATCTGGAGGAACTATAATTAATCTGACATTGCACAAATTACCTGTCTCTACAATCAGCCATGGTACAAATGCTTTCATATTTGGAATCTGCAAGAATTGAACAAATGCATCAAAATGTTAAAATTCTAGCTAAGATTTCTCATGTGATACCATGCTGTATAGTAGTAAGAAGCTAGAAAGATGCTACATCTACATAAAGCAAGGATGAGCAACCTGTGTTTTGTCTTCTCAGAGGTCTGTATGGATCATGGTTAATCTCAGCAACGTCTGACTTTCCCAATTTGGTTGGGAAACCTTTCCCAAGGTTGAGGAGTAAAATGGGGTTTTCTTCATCCCTTAGCCTTCCAAATTGAGCCCCATGGCATTATCAGCAACACGCCTCCAGCCTCCAGGATCAAATATATACATTTTGAAACTGTACAGCTCTTTACTGTAAGAAAGTTGCCTACTTCAGATAATAGCAATAGCACTTAGACTTATATACCGCTTTACAGTGCTTTAAAAATAGAATAGAATAGAATAGAATAGAATAGAATAGAATAGAATAGAATAGAATAGAATAGAATAGAATAGAATTTTTTATTGGCCAAGTATGATTGGACACACAAGGAATTTGTCTTGGTGCATATGCTCTCAGTGTACATAAAAGAAAAGATATGTTCATCAAGAATCATAAGGTACAACACTTAATGATAGTCATAGGGTACAAATAAGCAATCAGGAAACAATATCAATATAAATCGTAAGGATCCAAGCAACAAAGTTACAGTCATAAAGTCATAAATGGAAGGAGATGGGTGGTGGGAATGATGAGAAGATTAATAGTAGTGCAGACTTAGTAAATAGTTTGACAGTGTTGAGGGAATTATTTGTTTAGCAGAGTGATGGCGTTTGGGGAAACTGTTCTTGTGTCTAGTTGTTCTGATGTGCAATGCTGTATAGTGTCGTTTTGAGGGTAGGAGTTGAAACAGTTTATGTCCAGGATGCGATGGGTCTGTAAATATTTTCACAGCCCTCTTTTTGACTCGTGCAGTATACAGGTCCTCAATGGAAGGCAGGTTGGTAGCAATTGTTTTTTCTGCAGTTCTAAATATCCTCTGAAGTCTGTGTCTGTCTTCTTGGGTTGCAGAACCAAACCAGACAGTTATAGAGGTGCAGATGACAGACTCAATAATTCCTCTGTAGAACTGTATCAGTAGCTCCTTGGGCAGTTTGAGCTTTCTGAGTTGGTGCAGAAAGAACATTCTTTGTTGTGCTTTTTTGATCACATTTTTGATGTTAGCTGTCCATTTTAGATCTTGCAATATGGTAGAACCTAGAAATTTGAAGGTCTCTACTGTTGATACTGTGTTGTCTAGTATTGTGAAAGGTGGAAGTACGGAAGGGTTTCTCCTAAAGACTACCACCATTTCTACGGTTTTAAGTATGTTCAGTTCCAAATTGTTCCGGTCGCACCACGAGGCTAGTCGTTCAACCTCCCGTCTGTATGTGGATTCATCATTGTCTCAAATGAGACCGATCACTGTTGTGTCATCTGTGAACTTCAGTAGTTTAACAGATGGATCGTTAGAGATGCACTCATTGGTATACAGAGAGAAGAGAAGTGGGGAGAGCACACAGCCTTGGGGGGGCCCTGTGCTAATTGTACAGGTATCTGATGTGATTCTGCTTAGCTTCACCTGCTGCTTCCTGTTTGTCAGGAAGCTTATGATCCACTTACAAGTGTGTTCAGGTACCTGTAGCTGGTTTAGCTTAGTTTACAGCCCTCTCTAAGCAGTTTACAGAGTCAGCATATTGCCCCCAACAATTTGGGTCCTCATTTTACCCATCTCAGAAGGACGGAAGGCTGAGTCAACCATGAGCCTGGTGAGATTTGAACTGCCAAATTGCAGGCAGCCAGCAGTCAGCAGAAGTAGCCTGCAGTACTACATTCTAATCACTGCGCCACCGTGGTGCATACTATCCAATGGCCAGTAACTTTGAGAGGTTCACAAAAAGATAACATTAAAAGGAATAAAATAATGTAATAATAAGCAAAAACAAGGAATAAAAGGCAGCAGATTAGACAGGAACAAAATCAAAGTTTAATAGGGGTTCCGGAAAAGCATGAGCAAAAAGCCGAGTCTTAAAGGGTGGGGGCCATCCAGTTCTCGGGGGAACTTAGTTCCAGATGGCAGGTGCTGTGTCAGATGGCATGATTTAAACAAAAATACCCAGAGCATGCCAAATATGCCACATTATATCAGCCGGGAAGATACCATGGAAGGCAAAGTAACCCAGCCCATGTAGGGCTTCATAGATAACCAGAACCTTGAATCACACCTGGTTGGAAATAAACCTGCTATCAACACAACTTGTGAAGCAGAAGTGTTATATGGGCATACCAAGAAATGCCAATGATATTGCATTTGGATCAGATGAAGCTTTTGAGTGATCTTCAAGGGAAGCCCTATGTGGTACTAATTTTTAAAAAATGCTCCAACAACAACAAAAAAAAGCTGTTCGGTGCACTCCTTTCAATGTCTCTCTTCTCAGTCTCCCCACCACTAGCACTACCACCACCACTTCCAGTCTTTATTCCAGGAGCTCTACAGTTACCTGTAGTTACCTTTCAGGGCAGTTGTCTGAATTAAAATGCCCATTTAGATCTATTGAATACTTGAAAGAAACGTTTTCTTGTATTGTTAAAAACCTTGTGTTTCTTATTTCTGACTTGTTTTGATTACAAGCCTATTTTGATTACAAACCAGAAGCACTCAGACTTGTATATTGGAAACAAATGGTTGCCTTCTTTTTATATGATAATGGAACGTTCCTTATTTTTTAGACATAGGTAGTTACGAAATTCTGGACTTCTAGAAAGGATTTAGAATTAGTGATATTTGGATGGTGATAGCCATTTATTAAGAGCTAAATGCCATCAGAAATATTTGGCTGGCACATATTACTAGAATAGGGCAAGAATTGTCTCAAAGCCTAGTCTTGTACCAGGTGATTACAACCTTGTTCCTACTAGTTGCGCTGGCAACAACTCCATAAACAGTGGTGGGATTCAGCCAGTTCGCACCACTTCAGGAGAACTGGTTGTTAATTTTCTGAGCAGTTTGGCAAACTGGTTGTTGGAAGAAATCATTAGGGCAGAGAACCGGTTGTTAAATTACTTGAATCCCACCACTGTCCATAAACCCTGCCTAAGGCTCAGAGTAAACTCTCCACAATAGCTCAGAGTAGTGTAATCAGAAGTCCAAACTCCAGAGTACACATTATTGCAAAAAGCTGCTTTCAGAACCACAGTTTTTCAAGGCATTCCAGCAACAGAGAATATAACCAACTTTTCAAAGTGATTAAATAAAATAAGCTTTCCACTGAGTCCTTCATAACACTATATCCAGTCTTTATGTTGGGTTATGAAAAAAAATGGCATTACTGTTCATTTTTTACAGTTATGTGGCTAACACTCTGGCATTAACATGTAATCAGCTACAAAAACCATTTTGTGAGCCAAAGCAGTATTTTAGAGAAGCTTAACATTTGACAGTGCCAAGTTGCTACAGATTGAACACTGGAAAAAGTAGTATTTAGAATGCTTTCAACAACAACAAAAAAAAAAACATTGTGCAGTTACAAACCCAGACATATATTGCAGGCTTTCCTATCCTGGTGGCCCTCACATATTCAACTCCAGTAAATCCCAGCTGGCATGGAAATTGAAATTCAATATATATGGAGGGTACAAGCCGGGAGAGGCAGATGTAGCAACTGATGTACGGTATTACATATACTGTATTAAACCTCTTAGTTTGCATTACCAAATGAGGCATTTCACTCTGTAGCATTTATGAGCATGTCAATTATTTTGCATTCATAATTGTCTAACACAAAAGAAACGTACCGGACAAGATAAGGAGCTCAATAATTTCTGCATCTCCCAAGAAAGCAGCAACATGAAGCGGGGTGCGCTTCTCCGTGTCCTAAAAAAAAGAAAAAATGGTTTTAAAAGGTCATTGCAGATCTTGTGCCATGGGAACTAGGAGGTTAAGACCGTAATTTTGAAGTGGTGTAGACCTTTTTTTTTTTTTTTTTTTTAAGAGAGAGGGGGTGTCTTTGAGACAGTGTTGACTCCTGGCAACTATTTGGTTTAGCCCCTGAAGTTTTCTTGGTAAGGTTTTTTAGAAATGATTTCCTAGGCTGAGAATGGCCTGAAGTCACCCACTCAAAGTTTAGCCTGATGCCTTAATCGATACACTAAACTGACTCTTTCTGCAGGCTTAAGTCAGTGATAAAAGAATGGTTAGGGCTTATTTACTCTTGAAATCAATGCAGAATACAGAATGACAGGTGGAGACTTCTGTGTCACACTTTTTCTTGCTCCAGCTGCCTTTACCTCCATTAACAAATAATCAGCATCATAATGACAGCTTCCCTATGTGTGGTACTGATATTTGTTACCCCTACAGTACTGACTTGAGGACCAAGAAAGACCTTCAGAAATTGCCTTGTTATTTTATAAATGATGGATTATGCAAAGTGATATGGCATTGCTAGTGGGACAGGAGTGAGGAAGTTGGGTCTATGCAGCCAATCTTTAGAAAGTCAATGACTTCCCACCTTCCTTTAATTGAAATCAAATTCAGAGTTTCCTTCCTTGGGCCTCTGATATGTTGTTATACTGTTGGGACTTTACCTTTTGATCTAAAACAGTGGATTTGAAGGAAGATTAATCTGCAAATGAGACAACACAGTTGTAATTACTGCAGGTATATAGTGTGTTCCTGATATCATTTTATCTGCTTAAGACTTTAAGCATAAAGATCAAAGACATGTAGTTTATACTTTGGGGGCTGAGTTGAATTTAAGTTGCCATCTGGATTTTAATTAGTTAATGATGGCTGGTATCTCATCAAAGTTTAAGATTATTAAATACAAAAATGCACTTATTGTTTGAAGAGAATGTTAATTTTTCTTATAGAAACAACACATTTGCAAATTATGTGACCAAAAACAGCCAATGGAATATTTAAATTTACGAACTGCCACTTGAAAGTTTAAAAGAGAATATCTATGCATTGTGTACCATCTATTTTTTTATTTTGTTCTTGCTCTTTCTTGCACTTTTAACACTTAAAAGTGTTAAAAAAAACTAGACTCCTTATTCTTATTATTCCATTTTTCCAAAATGATGTAACAACACAGTTCCACAACAGGTAGAATTTAGTTTATGGCCCTTTCCTTCTCTTGCAGGTAGCATCTATTTGGATGCCACAAGAAATGTTTGGTGGGACTCAAGCTCGCCTATAGAGCACCTTGTTTGTTTAGTGAACCTGAGATGAAGCTCTAAGGTAGTTTACACAGCCCCCACAGTTTTTTCCCACTATGATGCTTTTGATTTCAACTATTTATTCCACTTGAACTATTTGTAACTAGGTCTGGTTTTAATTCTCAGGGGAGAGAATTTAGGACTATTTTTTTATTATTATTAGTTTGCAAAATGCTACAAATCGTTTTGTGCATGGAGGTCAAATTTGGAAACAACACTGTGTTTAAATTATATCTATATCATGTTGCTGAGGATGGTAGCTTGAATTAATCTCAGAGAAATTGGACTGCGTTGTAAATACTATCTTTTTAAAATAAGAAAGCACCTGCCTTATACTCTGCAAATAACAGGCATATGGTGAATTAGGCAGTTCCCCCATAAAATGAGCTTGTTATGTACATTAGGATCCAAATGAAACTGGTATCTCTATGTGTGCGTTGTGGCCTATGAACTGCTATGAGGTCCGTCTAGTTCTCCTCCTGTCTTTGATCCTAAAACAGCTTGTCCCTATGGTGCTAATACTACTAATAATTCATGTGTATTTCCATGGTGAGTAAGCAGCACTCCATTATTTACAGTAGTTTTACCATATTTATATACATTGGAATTTCTAAATGAGTGCTGTCTGCAGGTTTTGTTACCTACTTGGCAATACAGCTAGTCCTTGATTTATGACCACAATTGAGCCCAAAATTTATGTTGCTAATTGCGACATTTAAGTTTTGTCCCTTTTTATGAACTTTCTTGCCACAGTTGTTAAGTGAATCATCGCAGTTGTTAAGTTAGCGACATGGTTGTTAAGTGAACCTGACTTTCCCATTGAATTTGCTTGTCAGAAGGTTGCAAAAGGGGATCACAAGGCTCTAGCACACTGCAACTGTCATAAATATGGAACCAGTTACCAAGCATCTGAATTTTGATCATGTGGCTATGGGGATGTTGCAGCAGTCATAAGTGTGAAAAATGGTCGTCACTTTTTTCAGTGCTCTTGTAACTCTGAATGGTGATTAAATGAACTGTTGTAAATTGAGGACTACTTGAATGTCCTCAATGCCCCAACCTGTAGTAGATCTCTCTCCAGAATGCTATTGTCTACCTGTTTGCCTTCTGCTTTGTGTCCAATCAGTACAGTTGCTCTGAAGGTAAAGGCAAGGGGAAAGGAGCCATTCCCTACTGTTTCTTTTACTAATTTATGCTGCTATTTATTCATTTATTTAAAAGATTTATGCAAATGCCCATCTTGCATTGTAAGCCGCCCTGAGTCTCCGGAGAAGGGTGGCATATAAATCAAATTAAAAATAAAAAATAAAAATAAATAAATAAAGCACAATTCTGGATGGTTCGAGGATACTGTAAAACCAAAGGCAAGAAAAACAAGAAAACTATACGTCCGACTATCTCCAATCCATTACACAATAGAATCCTACTCCTACAGGGTCCTAACTCACCTTCTAGCACCATGTTTTGTTTTTTTGTGTGTTTGGAAAGCACTAGAAGAAAACAGTGTCAGAAGATACTAGTAAACAAGTAAATCCAAAATTTGTCAGTGGCTACTAAGGCCTAATACAGAACAAACTCAATTTTTCCTGTCATTATTAAAGTATCTCACTTATATGGTTTAAAAAAATAAGTCTAAATTTCTGAAATTATCTGGAAATATGTTACACTGCATCACTGCAGAACGTCTATACCTCAATAAGTTAGTACTATCCTTAAATCTACCATCTGGGGCTTTCTTGAATCACAGAGCTCAAAGCAGAAACTACAAAGGTAGCCATTAGCTAGAAACAGATATTCTGAGTTTCATTAAAGTTGCGGCACTTTTACTGTAGATCATATTTTAGGAATACTGTATGTGGACATCCTAGATATAGCATTAAGCTCAAATAAAATTAAAAACACATCAATCAAATATTCTCACAAGTTGCACTTGACTCTTGATGATGATATGCACATGCCTTTGTATTTTCTTGCCAACAATATAGAAATGTTTTATATTGCCTTTCTTCTCATATCTCCCCAATCTAGCCTACAGCACTGGCATTTCCTGATAATCTTTTATTAATCTTTTATTAATCCTTCTATTAATTACCGGTAGGCCTAATCCTACTTGGCGTTTTTACTATCAGTTAAAATAGGCCAGATATTCAAGAGTGAGTGGCAACTGGAGACCAATTTGCAATATGTAGAAGTTATCAAGTTGTATATCAAAAGGACAGAAAAAAGAAATATCAGGGCTCATATATTGAAGACATCTTTTTTCCTTCATAAATATTTTGAAAGATTCTAGCTTACGCAAATAATTGAATGAAAGAAAGTTGATTGCAGAGGAATGACAGCTCACCTTATTAAAATAAGCATGGTATGTTTTAAACAGATCTTAAACAAACTAAAAAAAGGATGGCCCAAAACAATAGCTACACTTATTTCAACCTTCAGTAAAAGTATTTTGAATTGTTGTATAAGTTTGTGCTTAAAAAAAAAAAGCAGACTGATACATGAGGAAGATAACTTTTGCTGAGAAAATCGTAAGAACAATGAACGAAGGACAACTGCATATGGGTATTATTCAATCATTTAAACGTATCTTCCTTTATCTAGTTAAATCCAAATATGTTGGACTAGAATATTGATCAATACGGAATTATGGGAACTAGAATCCAACTAAAGTGGAGAGTTTTAAATGGTCGTCGTCAGCCATTTAGTCATGTCCGACCTTTGACCACTATGTGGATCAACACTCTCCATGCCCCTCTTTCTTGCACCGCCTCCTTCAGATTCACCATGGTCATCCCAGTGTCACCTTTAATAGTGTCCAGCCAGTGGGCCCTAAATTGTGAAAAGCTATTCTTTACATGGATTTTCAATTATTCTGTAATGAAGTGAAAATAACAATTTTCCAACATTGCCAAGAAAACTGCATGCACTTTTCAAAAGCAGGAAAAACAAAAACATTAACATACTGACTGCATTTCTGAAGTGGTAGTTCAAGCAGGATCAAAAGGTCTATTGCTAGTGTTTACCAATTAGGGAAATACATCTACATACGAGCACAAGAGTCACGAAAATACTTTGACACTGTTGATAACAGAACACTATAGCCAAATATCAGTAGAAGAGAATACAGCCAAAATAAATTTAGGGGCTGGATCATAGCTCCAAAATATGAAACCCACCTGCTCTAAATTCAGGACACAAAGTGGCTCAATCTCAAAATTGGTCCATCCATCTTAAAATATTGAAAAAAATCCTATAAACCCTTACACTAACTGCCAATTTATGGCAGCTTCATATTCCCTGAGGCTCAGGATAACCAAATAAATCCTCATAAGATACAATGGATTTTAGACTGTGCAAAGAATAAATGAGAAAAATGACCTGTCAATATAAAACAAACTTAATATTAATTACAGCCATGAAATATTGACTTTCAGTGAAATTTAGATTTACAATAATGGGAACCAGCCAGGTCTCTAAACTATTGTTAGATTAAGCCCATATATTTGAGCTGTATAAATTCACTATGAGGAATTCTAAATCCCCTTATTCTCTGTGGATATTTAGTCTATGAAACCACATGCATGAACACTGGGTTTACAACCAGGACCATGAGGTAAGACGTACAGAGAGAAATTTTTGAGGAAAAAATAGAGCAATTGACATATTTGAATCAGCAAGAACAAGCTAAACCAAGTAAATTCATAATGAAACACTCTTTACATATAATCACACTGTATTTCTACACAAATTCACATTAGGAAAGGAAACAAATGCTATATCTATTCTTTTTACGACATTATGCAGCAAAGATCATTATCATTGCAGGAAGCCCAAAATCACACCTTACTGGTTTTGAGAATTACAACCCAACACCAGTCCTTCATCAGTAAAAAGTAAGATTTTTTTTCACATACTGGTAGGTTGAAACAGCAAACAGCATTGACTATGCAGTAAGAAAGAGACAATTAGAAAGCCCTAAAATAAATTACATAATGGCCAGGATCACTCAAATAGAAGTCTCCTACACACGCATACAGAATGTGATCATCTACTCACACTTAGAAATAGAATAACAGAGTTAGAAGGGACATTGGAGGTCTTCTAGTGCCACCCCCTGCTTAGGCAGGAAACCCTACACCAGGGGTGACAAACTCAATTTCATTGAGGGCCGCATCAGGGTTGTGTTTGACCTTGGGGGGCCAGGATGGGCATGGCCAGCTCGACATCACTCGTGTCACGGGTACCTGTGGCGGCCCAAATGCTCTGCCAGCAAAAACGGGCTCCCGAACTCCATTTTCAGCTGCCACAGCCTCCTGCAACCCTCTGCCAGTGAAAACGAAGTTCAGGAGGGCCACACACTGGCAGAAGCACCACAGGCCGGTCCTTCGCTGTTTCCAGAGCGGCCCTGAGGGTCGGATCTAAGTACCCTGCGGGCCAGATCTGGCCCCTGGGCCTTGAGTTTGACACCCCTGCCCTACACCACTTCAGACAAATGGTTATCCAATCTCTTCTGAAAAACTTCCAGTATTGGAACATTCACAACCTCTGGAAGCAAGTTGTTCCACTGATTAATTGTTCTGTCAGGAAATTTCTCCTTAGTTCTAAGTTGCTTCTCTCCTTGATTAGTTTTCATCCATTGCTTCTTATCCTGCCCTCAGGTGCTTTGGAGAATAGCTTGACTCCCTCTTCTTTGTGACAACCCCTGAGTTATTGGAACGCTGCTATTATGTCACCCCTAGTCCTTCTTTTGAAACCTAGTTCAAGCAACCGTTCTTCATATGTTTTAGCCTCCAGTCCCTTAATTATTTTTGCTGCTCTTCTCTTAGAGTCTCAACAACTTTTTAGTATTGACCTACTTTTGTGTTTAATATTAAATATTAGATCCATGAACTTTTGCAATCCCTAAGCAAGCTTAGCTGCTAATATATTCTTGCCTCTCCTCTGCTCCTCTACATCTGGAAAGAGAAATGGATTCACCCTCACAATAAAACTTAATGTGCATTGTTTGGTTTTCAGGTATTCTGAACAAGGTTGTTGATGTCTGAACAAAGTTGCTGTGCTTTATTCACCAATCCTGCTTAAAATATTTTTATTTTATTTTATTTATTAAATTTATATGCCGCCCATTTCACTCTACAAAGCAACTCTGGGCAGCATATAAACCATAGTTCAGTATATTTTGTGAAAATATGTAAAAGCCAGTTTTACATATCAATTCCATTTTCTCTAACTTCTGAATTGCATGTTGTGGCTGTTGTTCAGTCAGTCAGTCAGTTCAGATTCTTCAAGACCTGATGGACTTCCTTTCGCCAGGATTGTCTGTCAGTAACTGCTTGATTTCTTGTATGCTCCCGCTTGTGCATGAGTAATAGCATCTAAGCTCTTATCTTTTATAAGGCTCTTCTGATTGCTTTCAATTTTCCATGCATCTGCATCTTCTCCAATGACCCTTGTTTTCATGATATGTATCCAAGTTTTTAAAGTTTTAACTTCATTACTAGCACTTCCAGTGAGTGACCCAATTTCATTTCACCCAGGGGTGAAATGTAAAATCTGCTACTACTGGTTCTGTGGGCGTGGCTTGGTGGGGGGAGTAATGTGACTGGGTGGGTGTGGCCAACTTTTTTTTTTTTAACTTTTCAAAGCATTTTTTCTAATGCTTTGAAAAGCCTCTCTGCCGATCAGGGAACTCAGCTGGGATCATCAGAGACTTTTCAAAGCATTTTTTTTACCACCTCTTCGGCCAAGAGGTTGCAGAAAAAAAATGCTTTGAAAAGCCTCTGATGATCCCAGCTGAGCCGCGCGATCATCAGAGGCTTTTTTTTTTTTTACTTTTAAAAGTATTTTTTCATTGGAAGAGGTTGTAGAAAAAATGCTTTTAAAAGAAAAAAAAAAGCCTCTGATGATCGTGTGGCTCAGCTGGGCATGGGGGGGGGGCAGGGATTTTTGCTACCAGTTCTCTGAACCACCCTCCGCCATCCCTACCTGATCAGGCAATCTGGTCTGAACCGGGAGCATTTCACCCCTGATTTCACCTAGTATTGAATTATTTGTTCATTCTGTGGTCCAAAGTATCCTGAAGAATTTTGTCCAGCATTACAATTCAAAGGCATAAATTTTTCTTCATTCAGCCTTTCTGACTGTCCAGTTGTTATAGGCGCATACTGCAATTAAAGAAACTATGACAATACTCATTAGTGTGATATCTTTATAATTTCACATTTTGTCTAGTTCTGTCATATTTTTTGCTCAAGTAGCAGATATTTATTTGTTCAACTTGTATTTATTTGTTCAACTTGTATGCCGCCTTTCTCCGAAGACTCAAGGCTGCTTGATCTTTGCATATCATAGCTTTAGTCACCAACCTTGTGAAATTTTGAGCCCACTTTTTCATTGCTTCAACTTTGCATTTTCTTGTTTCCATTGGATTGGCATTGCTTGACATAATCTTAAGGACTTTTTAAATATGAGATAACAGACCAACTTTTGTACTCTATTACCCATAATAATTTATAATTATTATAATTTAGTCTTCCTCACTTCTTGCTATCAAAGTGGTATCTTTAAAATATCCAAGTCTATTAATGTTTCTCCCAGCAATTTTAATTTAATTTCTCTTTCTCCCAGCCCAGATTTTTAAAGATATATTCTACAAATAAATTAAATAAATATGATAACTACACAACGTTGACTCACTTCTTTCCTTATTGTGAACTATTCTGTGCTTTAAAATAAACTTAGGTTGTAAAATAAATCAGAATCACTGGCTTGTTAAGTAGCTAGTAGAGTTTGTTCTAAGCTCTACTCCTAGTCCTTACTAATAAGAATGATAAGAAATTCAACCATCATAAATTTGCTATTGCTCTACCTGACCTAACAAAAGAGAGTCCATAGGAAACACACAAGACCTAAATATTCTCATGCTGTGAGAACTTTAGCTTATATCTAAATGTCCTATTATTTAAAGTTTGAAAAGTATATTTAGTATATTTTCATACAAAGAATAAAAGATACTTTAAATATGGGATGACAGTTTTATCTATTCATCCATCCATGTTTTTAAATTCTGTTTTATTATATGCTATGTAGCAAAATTCTATTGCGTTTAATTGTTTTATTTTCATTATCTTCAGAAGACCTATGTAATAAGAGTTCTATTGCCATTAAAAATGCATTGCCAAACCAAACCCTGAATCTTTCTCTTCGCCCTGCTTTACAAATATCTAAAGTGAGAGAAAACATGCATGAACTCATCAGGGCTCATTTGCTTTATTCCAGATCAGGACTGGAGAACAACCTAGATGTTTAAATGCAAGCTAATCTAAATGACAAGCAATTACTTTTCTTATTTGCTCTTTCTTGAATAAAGAAACTTAAAAGAGAACCAACCAATTACATCTTTTCAAGAAAGGCAACTCTATCACTTTCAGTTGAAATCAACCCACCCTCCCCAAGAACTGTTATGTAGCCTCATTATGAGGGGGCGCGGAGAAGCACATGCCAAGAATATACAATTCCAGCGGGATCATCCAAGAAGTGACAGTCATCCAAACTACCCATCTAAAGCAAGCAGGTGCTTATATTAGTCAGCAGCTAAATGGAAAGATACTGAAGGCAAAAGATCAAGGCATCATTTCATATTGTAGTAGAGAAGATGATGGTAAACGGTTTCTATTTTACCAATATTTTATAAGACGACCATGTGAATGTAAAATATAAAAATGATTGGTGATACAGTGCCTGATGATGGCCCCTTCATGATGGATGGTACTCAGCATGCTTCTGAGGAAGAACTGAGGATTTCTCAGAATACTAATAGTGATTATGACAAAGCTACATTAAAGCCTTTAGGATATGTAACTATTGATTTTGCCATACAGAACATCTTTATATGTAAATGGCATTACCAGATAGAGTACATAGAGATATCAAATTGACTCTATTAATGGCACAAGGAAGTAGAAAATACTCATTTATAAGAGCAAGCACATGGCCAGGGGCTGATTATGGAATAGATCACAAACTGCTCAGGTGAAAATTCCAAGTTAAACCTTCAGGGAAAAATTTATCTATCTATCTATCTATCTATCTATCTATCTATCTATCTATCTATCTATCTATCCATCCCCCCCCCATCTTACCACTTATATGTTATTCTATAGCAAGTAGTTAAAGCATCAGATTGAATACCCTGAAAGCTGTCAGGCAGAAACATTTCTGATATACAACTTAATTTAATTTGAATGTAACAACACTTATGGTCCAATGGGACATTTCTATTTCCATCACATTCATATGAGGATAGACTTGTGTGATCATAATTCTGAAGGCGTAGGCACAACTTAGAGGATGGGAGCAATAATGCTTGGTTCTATTTCCAAGCACAAAGTCACACGGGTCATTATAGGAACACCTGCATGAGCCTAGCATGTACTAAATTAATTAAAAAGGAGGATTATTTGTTGTAATTTACCAAATCACAATTGTACTTTAAAGGTAGGAGGCAGAGAAAATTATTCTGAAAAATTATTAGCTATGCTATGAATCTTATCTCACCTCCACCAGACATTTTCTTCCTATCGATGAAATACCAAAAGAATTAGAAAAGAAATGTATAAAGTTGCTTACCAAAGCATTAACATCTTCAGTTTTGTAGATTAATATACGTATCTCATCAGGATCACCGTTGAAAATTGCTTGGACCAGCGGTGGCTAAAGAGATAAAAACAGGAGTGGGGTAGTGGTAGAAAGAGAGAGGTAAATGTTATTCCTCTCTACAATCAACAAAGATTCAAACCGTTGCATACATAAAAACAACTGAGCTGTCTTGCACATCCTCCTTTCATAGAAAAAAAGACTCCTTAATGCAGCTGATGGTTCAGTCCTAGAAATATAGACACATTCAACCTCTTACTTAAGAAATCAAATACAGGTAGTTGTCGAGTTACGACCACAATCGAGCCCAAAATTTATGTTGCTAAGTGAAACATTTGTTAAGTGAGTTTGTCCCATTTTGTGACTTTTCTTGTCACAGTTGTTAAGTGAATCATTGCATTTGTTAAGTTAGTAACATGGTTGTTACTTGGCAACTGGTTCATATTTATGAAGGTTTCAGTATTCTGACAAGAAAAATCAATGGGGAATCAAGTTAATAACATGGTTACTAACTGGATTCCCCATTGATTTTGTTGGTCAGAAGATTGCAAAAGCTGATCACATGACCCCATGTGCAACCGTCATAAATATGAAGCAGTGGCCAAGCATCTGAATTTTGATCATATGATCATGGTGTTGCTGGTTGTAAGTGTGAAAAACGGTCATAAGTCATTTTTTTCAGCACTGTTCTAACTTTGAACAGTCACTAAATGAACTGTTGTAAGTCGAGGACTACCTGTAATAAGGACAAGTTATTTTGGTTCTCCAAATTCTATAAATAAGGTTACAAGTGTTATGTCAAGTTCATTCCAGAATATAAGTAATGGATACTTGTACATACAAGGCTTTCATCACTCAGTTTAATATCCTGTCATCGATTGTACTAAAGGACAGATATATAAAAAACCTAAATTTCTTAATTGTATCCATATTTTAGTGTCAGTAATATAAGGTAATATTTTTCAGATTCTATTTTTCCAGATTCTGGGTTGGGACTACAGTTTTAGTTTTAAACGATATTATGGCTTTATCTTGGGGACTGTAGTTTTAAAATAAATATTTTGTTAACAATATTATATATCCATATTTAGGATATCATCTGAAGTGATGTTATTTGACATGTTTTCTTTAAAAGACTTGGCTCTTTTTATGTTTCCTGACCAAAATAAAGATTAACTATACTTGTACAAGAATAGAGGTTCTTTTATGCTTCCTGCACTATTTTTAGGCAGAGCATAAATGGTTCCAAAATGGCTAATATCCATTTTTATTTTTATAACTAAACTGCTACCCTCAGGATCACTGTTTCCAGGTGAAAGAGAGGCCACTTCCTGTAATGCCCTGGAATCTGGCCATTTTCCTATCCTAGAAAATTACAACAAAATAACTTACATTTTCAAATGCCTCAGATAGGGCTTTGACAAGCATTTAAAAATGTGTGTTATTCCTGGAAAGGAGAGATATCAAAAGCATATTCTGTTCTGAACCATTTTTTTTGGACTGACATCCCCCACCAAAAATCCCTTAGTTTGTGGCACTTCAAATATATAGAGTTTTACATTATAATTAGATAATTATTCATTCAAAGAATGTTTTACTCTTAAAATATACAGTACAAATAAAGGTGGAAAAAGCTAGAGCACAAAAAAAGAAAAAGTTCCAGTAAAATTCAAAGACAAGAAAATGAGGAAACAGAGGTTCCAAATCAGGTCTTTCTGCCTCCTTTCCAAAGTTTCATGGGGCGTTCAAACAACAAAATAATTTTTACACCGTTTCTTCAACTTCTTTTAACCACACATATGCAAAACCATTAAAGGAGAGAATAGCTGAAGAATGTCTTTTAGTTACTAGTGTCTTTCTGGATGCACTCTAAGATCAGGAATATCCAAGATGAATTGAGAAGAAATAATAAGAGTCAGCAGAAATAATCAGGCTGTCCATTCACATAAACACAGATTAATAATTTGCATAGAGTCATCCTGAAGATTAATTTCTTTTTTACCAAGCAAAGGCCTTTTCCCCATAGCATATACATGTCCTGGCACCATCTTTTTTCCTGAAATATCTTCATGCTGTTGACCTTCATCTTGTCCATTACTCATGAGTTGGACATACTTAAGACATCACAAATGCTGCACCAGGACTGATTCATTAGGTACGGGATGGCGACACACAAATTACTTTTAATAATTCTATTGTAATCTATCATTGGTGGGCCCTCTGCTGTTGCATTCCCAGAAGCACCACCAATCTGGTGAAGGATAAGTGACGTTGGGTCCTACACAGTGGTGGGTTCCTCCCGGTTCTGCCGAGCCGGTAGCGGTGACGATATGACATCACCAAACCGGTTCTGGCCCCTCTGCCCCCGTGTTATTTTTACCTTTTATTTGGCCTCACCCCCAATCTATTGCTACCTCCTGAGTCCCAGCTGATGGCTAGAGGGAAAAAAACTGTTTAAACTCTTGCCACGGGGCTTCAAAGGGCTGCCCTGCAGCTGACCAGTGTTAAAAGAAAACAAATGAGTAGACCGGTGCCTGCAAAAATAAATGGGTAGACTGGTGCCTGCAAAAATAAATGGGTAGACAGGGGCCTGCAAAAATACATGAGTAGACCAGTGCCTGCAAAAATAAATGGGTAGATTGGTACAGCTCTGCAAGCAGTTAAAAGCCTGGTAGACCAGTACCTCTGCTAAATCCTAAATAATCGTCATATGACCATCAAGCCACGCCCACAAAAAAGCCACGCCCACAGAACCGGTAGTAAAAAAATTTAGAACCCACCCTTGGTCCTACAGTATTAGAAAGGCTGTTGCTGAAGATAGTCTTATTTCAAAGGAAAGCTTTATTTTCCAGGAAAGACATGTTTATTCCCAATCTATTGCCTCTAGTTAAAATTCCAAGTCTTCTATTTCTGTTGAAGGAAAAATGGAAGAAACATAGGATTCCTCTCTCACTCCTATGTCTATGAAGCCATTTGAGAAGAATTTGAGACAAAAGTTGTTATAGCTCACTCCCGATTCTTTAAAGCACATGTTGGTACCCAAGTGCCTCCTAGAGCAAATCACTAATCTATACCGGGGCTTCTTTGATTCAGATAAGGCCCCTAGACTCTGGTCATCTGTTTCATGAGTCCAGAGGGACAATCACTTGGGAAGGTGATTCAAATTTTCTTCTTTGTTCTTTTTCCCTTTCTTTGGGGGAAGAGAGAACTCTTTCACATGAGAACTTTGTTTCCCCTGACTTCAAATGTAAAATGTGTGAAGGGAGTAAATCAAAGCATCCTTTGCCTTTCCTCCTGGCTTTCCATCAAGGAGGTGGAAAAAACTGGTAAGACCCACAGCCTGGCAACCATTTATTCAGCAAAGCCGTGACTGGTGGATGTTTTTATCACCAACTGTGGATAAACAGTATAGAGGGGTTACAAAGACAGATGATTCAACCAACCACCTTGCGTATCATGTGATGTGCACACATTTTCAAAACATCACCTTTTGGCAATGAAACAGACCAGGGAAGATAAAGATAGGGCAGAGATTGGCAGTTGGGTCAATAAATTCCACACTAGGATAGAATAGATACAAATAGATTACAATGAACATGTAATTGCTAAAATATATGAACTTTTACTGAAATTTGAAATTGAAGAACAAGTAAAAGAATATATGATACATTGATAACCAAAATTTGGTTATAGTATACAGATAGGAAAATCTTGTCAAGAATGTATAAAGGTACTTCACATTTACATTGGAAAGATGAACACAAGGCATATTTTATCATGTTTAGTGGATGTGTGAAAAAGCTAGAAAATTCTGGATTAAAATATATATGCTGATTCAGAGGATTTTTAAGATTAATATGAAATTGAGGCCAGAGGTTTTTCTTATAGGATTCATGGATAAATAGTTGGAAAAAAGTTATAGAATTTTGGTTTTTTTACCTGGTAACTGAAGTGGGATTATTATGGTATATGGTATATGCTAAAATGGCTAAACTGACTTCTTTGATCAAAAACAATAGTTACGTTTATTGCTGACAGGAAACCCCCTATAGACTTTTTTGGTGTGAAATAGAAAAATTAAATTTATGGTTTATGATTTTGATGGTTAGACAAAATAAATTATAGAAAGAAGAGTATTATAATGTAACCATAAAGTTGGAGGTAAATTTATAATTGTACTTATAACTGATATAAAAAAGATCAGAAGCTACTTCGTGTCTTTTTTCTTTCTTTTTTACTTTTTTCTTTCCTGTCTTGCACTTTTAGCTTCCTCTTTGATTACTTGCATTTTTCTTACTTTATATTAGTTTTATTATTTGTATTAGTTTTTATCTTCTTTTTAAAAATACCTTTAATAAAAATTACATTAAAAAAAATAAATTCCAAAAAATGCTCCCGGTTCGGACTGGATCGCCAGATCTGGTAGCGATGACGGTGGGTGGTTCAGAGAACCAGTAGCAGAAATCCCTGCCCCCCCCCCCCGCCCAGCTGAGCAGCGCTATCATCAGAGGCTTTTTTTTTTTACATTCAAAAGCATTTTTTCTACAAATGCTTTTAAAAGTAAAAAAAAAAAAGCACCTCTGATGATTACATGGCTCAGCTGGAATCGTCAGAGCCAAAATGCTTTTAAAAGTTTTAAAAAAGGTTGGCCATGCCCACTGTCACATTACCCCCCAAGCCACGCCCACAGAACCAGTAGTAACAAATTTTACATTTCATCACTGCTATCACCAGTATCTTCAGCTTTGGGTGAAGTATATTCAACTGTACTCTGATCTTCCTTGCTATTGGCTGTGTTTTTCTTGAAGCCAAGGACATCAATGCCAGCAAAGTGGATGCATGTAATCAGGAAATGTCTGTTAATCTAACCCCTTAAAATCTAGAATTGCTGCCAACTGCTAAAGCGTTTTCAGACAAATAGGGCAACTTCTCCTTAGCTACAGACATCTCCCCTAAAGAATTTCAGCACCCACTGATTTCACTGCCTTTTTAGTTCCTTTAATTCCCCCTGCTACTGCCTTTTCAAATTTCATTTGCTACATTGAGTAGCAATTGGGAAACTTTTTTTAAAAAAAGAGCCTCAGGCAGAGGTATTTTACACAAGCTCCTTCAGAACATTTAAGCTCCGGAAATCTAAAGCTTCACTGTCTTCTCTGCTTCATTTGGTGATAACAGGAAATTAATGCAATGAGGTTTTCTCTCAAAGCCACAGGCTGAATATTTTTGTTTTACACTAGAACCATGTGTGAAACTTTTTCTGAGGCAATATAAAAACACAGCCCATGTTTTAATGGCATGAGGGAGGGAGGGAGGGAGGGAGGAAGGAAGGAAGGAAGGAAGGAAGGAAGGAAGGAAGGAAGGAAGGAAGGTTGACAACATATCTCCAAATGGTAGCAATTTTAGAGAGTGTAAAAAATTTGCTAATTTTTTAAGCATGGCACATTTAGGCAGGAAATGGAATGAAGCTGAGAGATTCACAACTTTAATCATACTCAGGACTCGATTTCCTAAAACATCCAGTACTGCGCACATAGTGCATAAAACTGACCCAACTCAATATTTTTTAATTCCCTTCTCAATGCCTGAGGGGAGCTGCCTCAAACAGCAGACATCTGCCCATCTAACTTGAGATAGCTGCCCTCCATAATTTGGCCCTAGTAACATTCTGGAGGAGAAGAACGAACTTTGAGAAGTTAATGTCCAAAAAGCTGTAAGAATAGAGCAGAACAGGTTAGTGCCTGATGATACAAAATGTTCCTCTTCCAGTCCCTGCTAGGACAGCTCTTCAATGCTGCCAACAACATAGCATGCTCCACCATACATTCAGAACCGCAGCCCAGCTTACTGGATGCAAATCCAGCCTAATGATACATAGCTTTTCTCAAGCACTTTCCTACAACTCTCCATGGACTAGCACTCCAAGCTATCTTACTCTGCCTAAAAAAAAAGGCAGAGTAATGACAAATTACTCTTTCCAATCTTGGCCATCACTAGGGAGCAGCAAAAGGCTTTTTTGAATCTCTTGAATCATCTGCCATCTAGCAGATGTCCAGATTTTTTCAAACCAGATTTGGTGGCCCTAAAACTGAATGACAAAAAGAAACAATTTTCCACATCTTATTTATCTAATTCATATTCTTCCTTCCTTCAACGTATTTAACTAGAAGGGTAAAATTCTGCAATATTTCAATGTCAACCCTCTAGGGAGTTAATTGCTATTTCAGTTGCCTTCCAAAAATGCTGGATATAACAACCACCTGATTTTTTTTTTCAAAATCCACAGTGACGTAAAGGCAGATTAAATAAATCATCCAACTCTTTCTTATTTTTAATGATGGCAATGAAAATTAAAAGTCAGAACTTCCTTTTTTTTGTCTGCCCATTTATGTTATTTATATATAAAGCAGTTCAAATTGAAAAAATGATTTCACCTAGAATCCTGTATATATTTATAAATGGTTAAACCTACATAAAAAGAAGAGAATTTAAGAAGCCCAGAGCCAGTTTAACCCATTGATTCTATCGTATCCTTTTTCTATTGGGACCTAAAATATGTTTTTAGTCATGACTCAGAATCTATGGGAATTTCTTTGGATGAAAACACAAAGCATTAAATAAAACAAGTCCCTTCACATAAAATGAAAAATTGTAGCAGTTCCTTTAGTAAAAACAGTAACAGCAACTAGTTTATTGGTGTTTTCTTTGGATTTACTGAAAAACCTGATGAAAAGACACAAGTGTCAAATTGGTGTGTTTTTTTTATGAAAGCGCTATTCTGTTGTCATTCTTCAATTATACTACTTGACTCATAATCTTCATGATCAATTTTACAAACTTTATCCACAGTTCTGAGTGATTCCAAGATTTGCTTGAGTCTCACAAAACCAAATCCTAATCCTTCCCGTATTTTTCTTGCAAGTGCAGAATCTGCTTTTGGAATCAACCGAATACTGGTCCATTGGTTGTGACAGGAATTGACTGACCAGCTTATTTCTGAAGCTTGATGTTGGGGGCTGAGAGAAGGTAATCGGACGTTGCTCACCTGAACGTCCATTTTCGGGGCGCTGCGACTCCAATCCATGGACGGGTAGTATCTTCTAGTTGCTGGGCAGAACTGAGTGCAGATCACTTCCAATTGGTTGGCCACGCCCACATCGTCCAATCATCTCCAGTCTTTCCTCACGAAGGTATAGAACTAAGGAATTATAACAGTCAGCGAGAACTTATGTAAACCAACAGTAAAACAGGCAGACCCAGGGTGGGTATGGATTGGAGTCGCAGCGCCCCGAAAATGGACATTCAGGTGAGCAACGTCCGTTTTCCATTGCGCTGCTCCTCCAATCCATGGACGGGATGTACCCAAGTTCAATTGCCCTGGGCGGGGGGCTGACTGTCGTTGTCTCCTCGAGTCGTGGCCACCTGTTGTAGAACCCTACGTCCAAAAGCAGCATCAGCTGAAGCATACTTGTCGATTTTATAGTGTCTGATAAATGAGGAAGTCGATGCCCATGAGGCCGCTCGACAAACCTCTAAGACGGAAGCATTTGTGGCCCAAGCTGCTGAAGCTGCCGCACTGCGTGTTGAATGTGCATAAATCTTAGTCGGCCGAGGACATGCTTGGATGTCGTAGGCGATTGAAATGCAAGCCTTGATCCACCTGGCAACTGTAGCCGATGAAACCTTGCGTCCCATTGAAGAAGGGGTGAACGAGACAAGTAAGGACTCTGTCTGACGAAAAGATTCAGTGTGTCTGATATAACGTCGAAGGGCCCTCCTAACGTCCAAAGTATGCCAGAGAAGCTCAGTCTGATGACGAGGATTCGGACAAAAGTTAGGAAGGACCAAATCTTGCGCCCTGTGGAAATGTGAGTTCATCTTAGTCAAGAAAGTCGGATCCAATCGCATCACCACCCTGTCACTGTAAAAGGTGCACAAGTCCTTCCTTACTGAAAGAGCAGTGAGTTCAGAAACACGCCTCGCGGACGTAATGGCAAGTAGAAAGGTGACCTTCAGTGTCAGAAATTTTAGAGATACCGAAGCCAACGGTTCGAAGGGCATGGTGGTAAGAGCCTGAAGCACAAGGGTAAGGTCCCACGATGGGTACCGATGAACAACCAGTGGTGAAAGGTTGGTAGCCCCGTGCAAGAAGGATTT